TTGCTTTGGAAGCTTCGTCTCAGGGGTGTACCCTGCCGTGTGAGGTGTGAGGTGTCGGTCTGCCCCTAGTGGGGGATGTCTCCCAGTTAGGTTACTCAGGGATCAGGGACCCACTTGAGCAGGCAGTCTGTCTGTTCTCAGATCTCAAACTCCGTGTTGGGAGATCCACTGCTCTCTTCAAAGCTGTCAGACAGGGTCGTTTGTGTCTGCAGAGGTTTCTGCTGCTTTTTTTGTTTTGTTTTGTTTAGCTGTGCCCTGTCCCCAGAGGTGGAGTCTACAGAGACAGGCAGGCCTCCTTGAGCTGCTGTGGGCTCCACCCAGTTTGAGCTTCCCAGAGGCTTTGTTTACCTACTTAAGCCTCAGCAATGGTGGGTGCCCCTCCCCCAGCCTTGCTGCTGCCTTGCCCTTAGATCACAGACTGCTGTGCTAGCAATGAGGGAGGCTCCGTGCGTGTGGGACCCTCCCGGCCAGGTGTGGGATATAATCCCTTGGTGTGCCATTTGCTAAGACCCTTAGTAAAGCGCAGTATTGGGGTGGGAGTTACCCGATTTTCCAGGTGTTGTGTGTCTCAGTTTCCCTGGCTAGGAAAAGGGATCCCCTTCGCCCTTGTGCTTCCCAGGTGAGGCGATGCGTCGCCCTGTTTCAGCTTTCCCTGGTCGGGCTGCAGCAGCTGACCAGCACCAATTGTCCGGCACTCCTTAGTGAGATGAACCCAGTACCTCAGTTGAAAATGCAGAAATCATCCGTCTTCTGTGTCACTCGCACTGGGAGCTGGAGACTGGAGCTATTCCTATTCGGCCATCTTGCTCTACCCCCAGTTGTAACTAATCTTTTGTAAACATTTTCCTGTAAAAAGTATGTGTAAATTTATCCTACACTGTGGTAGTTTTTCATCTTTCCTTAAACTTACTAGCAGCTTGATTAGGTCTCTTGTAGAAATCTTCCCTTTCTTTCCTTATTTCCTTCCTTCCTCCGTCTCTCTCCTTCCTAATAACTTTCCTTCCTTTCAAAATCATGCATTTAATTCCTACAGTCATTTAGCATTGCTAACATTTCAGAGTCTACCCTCAAGTTTGACATATCAGGATTTTAAACCCGATGTACTTTGTTTCTTCTTCAGAGATACAAGAAACTAGAAGAACTTGTCCAGTTTGATTACTCTGGGGAGGAATATATGTGTATATGGGAGGAAGGTGAATAAAGTATGAGGAGAGGGAGAGTAAGGGGGTATAGTCTGGGCTAACCAGAAAGCAAGGGAATTAACCAAATTTAAAAAGAATTTTCAATGTGCAAAAATAATATGTTACTATAATTTATTAAGGTACCAATATGTTGACTAACATCAGAAAAATCAAATTTTATTTTACAAACTGTGATTAAAACTGTGTTTAACTCATCAAGAACCTGGTAAGTGAAGTTATGACTCATAAAGTTGAGAACCTGGTAAGTAAAGTAAAGATGATTAATATATCTCAGAAGGAAATAACACTTGAAGGGGTAAGAAAGATGCACACGTAGAAAAGCATAGTTTTAAAGGACCTTTTGAATCAGATGCAAGAAGTTATGATTTAATATTCATCTACCTTGGTTCTTTGAAAATAATGACTTCCATAGCAGATAAGAAGAATCTGGTGGGTCACATAGCAGTGCCTAGATGTTTAGGAAGCATTTGACAAGATTCTATTAATGAGATCAATGGCTAAGATAAAAGTCACAGAATAAAAAGTACAGTAAAAGATTCAGTAGAGAAAAATGAGAATTTGTTTGAAGATGTATGCACACGTTTTGTTCCCTCCCCAAATCCTACTAACACAAAGTAAAGGGATATTTTTAACCTAGAAGGTCTAACCTACAAGGATAAAAATAACAGGAACTAGCAGCAGACAAAGCCAAGCAGCAAACCAACTAGATGCATCTGGAAGTAGCAAGTGAGTGTCAGCCTGAAAACAGGAGGAATAGCTAAGAAGGGGTTGACTCCTAGATCTCCTCACTGGCATTTAGAATCCAGGCATATTCTCTGGAGAAGCTAAAACAGACAGGCTTTGGACTGGGGTTGGGAAACACCAGGTACAGTAGATGCCAGGACCACCGTACTAGAAACTGGGGGGTTAAGGTCAACAATGTAAGTCTGAATTCAGCCCCCTCCTCCTTTTCCGCTCCCAGAATGCTGGTATACTCTCCAGATAAGAAATTAGAATTCTCTGGAATCTGATTAGCCTGAGACAAAGGACTGAAAGAGAGTGACCTGGGGTCCTGCAAGGAAACTGCCTAGCCTGATGACTGTGGAGTAAAGACCACTGTCAATAAGCCCGCTGACATGGTTTGGCTCTGTGTCCCTAACCAAATCTCTTATCGACTTGTAATCCCCAGTGTTGGAGGAGGGACCTGGTGAGAGGTGACTGAATCATGAGAGCAAACTTCCCCCTTGTTGTTCTTGTGATAGTGAGTTCTCAGGAGATGCAACTCCCCCTCTCTCCCTCCTGCTCTGGCCACACAAAATGTGCCTCCTTCCTCTTTGCCTTCTGCCATGATTGTAAGTTTCCTGAGGTCTCCTTAGCCATGCTTCCTGTCTATTTGTTTTTTGGGTTTTGTTTTTTTTTTTGTTTTGAGATGGAGTTTTGCTCTCGTTGCCCAGGCTGGAGTGTAATGGCACAATCTCGGCTCCCCGCAACTTCTGCCTCCCGGGTTCAAATGATTCTCCTGCCTCAGCCTCCTCAGTAGCTGGTATTATAGGCATGCACCACCACACCAGGCTAATTTTGTATTTTTAGTAGAGATGGGGTTTCTCCATGTTCGTCAGGCTGGTCTTGAGCTCCCACCCTCAGGTGATCTGCCTGCCTTGGCTTCCCAAAGTGCTGGGATTACAGGCGTGAGCCACTGCGCCTGGCCTCTATTTGTTAATCTAACCATATTCTATTTATATGTGGAGATAAACTTGATATGACATAAAAACGGTTGAAAACAAGGTGATGAACAAAGATATTTTTGATTAAAGTATATTAAAAAGAAAGCAGGGATGGGAATGTTAATATCAGGCAAAGTAGGATTAAAATAGAAAACATCAGTTTATACTTGTGCTATATATTATGATGTTAATCACATAATATGCTGAGAAGATATACCCATAAATCTTGACACATCGAGCAACAGAACACTGAAGTATGTACACCAAAAATTGTTAGTAATACAAGAAGGATTAGACAAACTACAATTATAATGAAGATCTTCCTTAGAATTTGACAGATCAAATAACCAAAAATTAATGTAACTGTACTTGAAAAGCACAAGTTAAACATAACAACAGTTAAAATGTTTGATTATATAACTTTTTTAGCCTTTTTACTCAACCAAAAGAGAACGTACATGTGTTTTCAAATACCCAAAGGACATTAATAAAAGTTGATCCTGCAACAGACTACAAGAATAATCTTAGTGAAACTGACAGAGCCAAAATCATATAGTCCATATCCTATGCCTATAGTAGTAGAAAGATTAAAAAGTAATAAAAAGATAACTAAATGTCCCTTGAAATTACATTTTCTAAATATCTCTTGAGTCAAAGAAGATATCAAATTTGAAATGACAGATTATTTAGAAAATGATGGTGAGAACACTAATCGTATGGCAGGCAGCAAAGTTGTGCTCAGGAGGAAAGTTACATGCTTTTTATTATTTAAAGAAATAATGAAATCCAGAAATCATGAAAATAACTGAAGCAAATTTTTCAACCCATGGGAACAAAATAAAATAAACCATAAAAGGGCAAACTGGTAAGTAGAAATTCATGAATAACAAAACAAAAACAAAGCAAAATCTAGAGAAGGTTTTCTTAAAAAGGCCAATAAAAGGGATCACTTATTCATTCCATAATTATGTTCTGGAAACGCACTTTAAAAACAAAAAGAACAAACATAAAATTGAGTTTCAATTACAAGCAGTTTAGATTATTATGGCACAAATACAAACACCTATAATTGGGAGAAATCATGGATAAATTAACATCAAACCAGGTTATAACCATGATATCCGAGAATATTGATTCACTCATGCTGAAAATGTTCTGTGGGAAAGCTCCCACTGTAGGCCTTGCCACTTTCTGCTCCTGCTCTATGTAATCTTTTCCCCCAGATATATTCTCTGCCCGAATGCTGCCTTACCAAAGCATCTTTGTTTGACCACTCCATTCACACTCTCTACTTTTCCCACCCTTAGACTGCTTTATTTTTCTTCATATCACCATATGATACAAATTTTATGTTTATTATCTGTCTCTTCTACTATGGTATAAGCCCCTTGAGAAACAGTTGTCTATTTTGTTCACTGCTACCTTCCTGGTGCCTAGACCAGTAAGTAGCTCACAGTAGACTCTAAATAAGTATCTGTTAAATGTAGGCTGTTCCACAAAACATTACTGTATAGGTAGGTGACATGGTTTAATAAGCTACATAACAAGCCCCTGATGATGAAGTTTTATTGTATTCATGATCTGGATTCATACTTACTTCTCAATAGCATGTGGGACTGAGGCAGTGCCAACCTGGGGTCTCCATGCTTTGGAGACCATGGTAGGCAGTGTCTGGCCCCATGTCTACTGTGATCAGTGGAACAATACCTCAGGAAAACCTCTAATAACTCTCATTAACTTGGGGGGTTGTAATTACACCATACCCAAACAAGTTCTACTGTTCCTTACTAAATTCTAAGTTCTTTAAGGACAAGGTCTGTTTCTTAAATGACTCCATAGCCTTGGATTTGCAGGAGTGAAGTGATAGCTGGTACCCAACCTTAGGTTCAACATCTTCAATCTGCATCTTAACTCTTAGTGCTATCATCACACCACGGACCCAACACATACTTAACTCAGAATCCTAACTTGGCTCTACTATGGATACCAGGCAGGCTGCTCCCTGCATCTCATTGCCACCCATTTCCAACGCAGAAAGGAACACAGGGATTGGAGCCAGGCATACCTGAATTCAAATCCTACTTTCTTTAGTAACCTGGTGTATATTCTAGGATGAGCTCCTGCTTTTTTTGGTCTTTCTACCTTTCTGAGGCTGAATGTGGTAGAGGATGCTAGTTTTTCACCAATATCCATTCTTCCTCCTTTGTTCTAGAACTTCTAAGCTTCGTCTGATCATATGGTTGCCTAGTTACAGACCATATTTCCCAGCCTTTCTTGCTGTTAGTTGTAACTCTGGGTTAAGTTCTGGCCAATGGAAAATGAACAGAAGTGAGACCTGCCATTTCCATGTTATACTCCTAAAAGAAAATGTCTTACTCTCTCCTCTTGCCCTTCTCCTTCCCTATGGAAGGAGCACAGTCATGATGACAGAGCACACTTATGATGGTAGGAGCTGAAACAACCACTTTGGTCCTAGAGATAGAAATCGTTAGTGAAGATGGCAGAGTTGCCAAACCAATCCTGGTCTGCGCATCTTGGGCGAGCATAGCACCTGTGACAAGTATATGAAACAGAAATAATCTTCAATCTTACTTAAGCTGCTGTTTTTGGAGTCTCTTTGTTATAAAAGCTTAGACTGTACTGTAATATATTTACTTTTCTTAGTTGTAAAACGATAATAATACCTAGCAGGGCTGTTGTAAGAAGGAGTATGCAGTAGCAGCTAAAAAGTGATAGCTATGATTATTATTCAAACTTGTGCAGCTTTCTTTCAGCCTGACATTAAAGTTATGGTCTGGGCAGAATTTCTGAAAGTGAGACAACTGAAGTGGTGTGACTAGTGCCAAAGTCAGCTGCAATCAAGATTAGGCACTATACAACCACCCCTTCACCCCCTCATTCCCCAGACGCTGTGTTCAGCCAGTGGTCAGTTGGCTAGTGATTGGAAGACAAAACTCTGTGATGCTGGTAGCAGGTAAAGAGTTAGGACAGATATTTGTAAACAGGAATTTGATTTCTACAATGACAAATGCTATACAAATTTTATTTTTATCTCTTCGTGAAACTTTTGGTAAAATATCTAGTTCTTGATGATGTTTTTATGGAGTTGGATCTATTCTCAGCCTATGTTTAAGTGTTGAGTTCAGCCTTAAGGGGCAAGAGTAGAGGGAAACTTGAGATAATGCAGCAAAAAAGGAGCAAGCTGTCAAAGAGAGGTTGCATTGTGGTAATAGAAGAGCACATGAGGCCTGCCTCAGCATCCATCACCCTTAGATATTGGACAGTCACTAAGAGTTGGAAAACAGTGATTTTTTTGAGTGCAGATCTGTAGTGTCAAAATCAGAAACTCTCGCATTATAATTCTTAATTACAGTCACTTGATATTTCCTCTCATCTGCCTCACCAAAAATAATTGGCATATCCTTCTCTTAATAGTAAATTTCAAAATTCATGTGTTCTCAGGAAGTTTTTGGCATAGTTAAGTACATACTTATAAAACAGAAATTTCTCAGCACTTACCCCATTGTATTATGGGCTTGGTTCTCCATGTCAAGAAACTGCTACATCTGGTTTATATTTCTTGATTTTTAATCTGTTAGGGGGAAAATGATCCAAATTCCTAAAATGTTTACATTCATTAACCTATACAACAGGAAAATTTAGCTACTGGCAAAACCCACTTAGTATGAGTTTTTCTGTGTAGTAGCTCTTGATCCTACAAAATATAGAAACTTGAGTTTTCTGTTTTGGTTTTTTGTTTGTTTTTTGAGACGGAGTCTCGCTCTGTCGCCCAGGCTGGAGTGCAGTGGCACGCTCTCAGCTCACTGCAACCTCTGCCTCCCGGGTTCTAGCGATTCTCCTGCCTCAGCCTCCTGAGTAGCTGGGACAGGCAATTGCCACCACGCCTGGCTAAGTTTTGTATTTTTAGTAGGGACGGGGTTTCAGCATATTGATCAGGCTGGTCTCAGACTCCTGACCTCGTGATCTGCCCACCTTGGCCTCCCAAACTTGAGTTTTTTTGTTTAGCGACCCCTATGCATTTATGATATTGACTTAGTGATGAATTGAAATATGTGGTACTGACTAAAATGAGCATCCATTTACTACTTATTGAATAATAGCTTGGTACTATATTGTCTGCAAAGGACTCAGTACATGAGAACGAGTAAAACAGAATTCCCATTAAAAGAGAAATTCTAGCCAGATGTTCTCAAACTTTCTATTCTTGTGGATCCAATAAAGGTGTGCCTTTATTTGAGTACATTCTTTCTTTGGCCCTCTCTGGGTTTTGTTAGGATGAATATAACTATGAGATTTAAGACAAAAAGGCTACGAATGCCTTTAAAAAGAAATCTTGAAATTCTTCAATGGCTCTATGGGCACTGGCTCACCTCTTGACAAAATAGGGACGTTAGTATTTGCCTAAAGTAAAAAAAAAAAAATGTTTTTCTCAGTAACAAAATTATAGTTAAAAAATAATCTATGACGATAACTGGAGAAAGTATTGAGAAGGACTTCAACTCTTCCGAATCACTGAATAAAAGTCAATTAAAGAGCATTCAAGGAGGTAGAAAGAGGAGGAAGATTCGAGCTCACATCACTTCCAAACCGAAGAGTTTAGGAGAGACCCTGGAACTGTGTGTGGGACAGAGCAGAGAGGAGCAAGGGATGGTGAAGGAAAACGTGACCAGAACGCGCAGACCTATAAATGGTTTTGTAGATTCTCAAATCTCTCGCTTAAACGTCAGGGAAACTGAGGCACAGACAAGCTAAGTGGCTTGCCCAAGGCCACACGACTAAAGCCCTGGCCTTCTAACTTAGGGCGCAGCTCTGCTCTGGATATGCATGGGTGGGCCTCCCCTCCCAGCCTCTGTCCCCGCGCCACGCGCCCCTCCAGGACCCGCGCTCGGTTCAAGCCCAGCTTCCCACAGAGCGGCTGCCCTTTTGGGGTCCCCCTGTCCCGCTCAAGGACCCGCGCCAGCCCGGAGGACAGCCTGGCCTTTGGGTGAGGGTCAGGGGCGAGGCGGGGCCGGGAAGGCCAAGAGCCATTACCTGCGCTGCGCGGCGCTCGCCCGAGAGGTCTGAGGCCGGGGGCGCAGGACCGCGTAGGTCACCTCCCACCTGGCCAGGCCCGCCCCAAGGGGCCTCGCCACCCGCCTCTGCGCTCCCGCCGCCTGGGCCCTCCTGCCGCGCGACCAACCAGGCAGTTGGGCCTCTCCCTCCCAGCGCTCAGCGCCGCCGCTTGTTGCCATGGGGACGTCGCGGCCCGAACTCGTGGCCGTCGGAGTGGGGGATGGGCGCGGCGGCGGTAGGCGCTGCTGCCCTGTGGGGGGTTCCTCGGCTGCCTTCAACCTCGCCCCGCGCGAGCGCGACCTCGCTATCCCGCAGTTATGCGTCCAGTGCCCCCTCTATTCTGGGTCCTTTCCTCATTGTAGTCCCACTGCCCTACCCCAGGGCCCGGCACCCAAGCTGCAGCCCGGAAATACTGGTTGAATAAATGAACCAAAGAGATCACGAAGGAACTGTAAACAGCTGGGATTCATCATCCAGGTTCTTTAAATCCCCTTGGCCCTCTTTCCTCTTACTCAAATTTGAAGTGGTATGAAAAAGAAATAAACTTGGGGTAAAGAGAACTGCTTTTCTCTCCGTGCACCCTAGTGTCTTACAGCTGGGAGGAGCTGGATTTCGTCGCTCAGCCCCGGTTCCTGTGGTGATTAATAGCATCTGCTTGTACCTGGCTTTCCAAGCGCGATGGGTCCTTAACTGCTAGTCAGGCGAGCGGACAGTGTTGCCTCCCTTCTGGGAGAAGGGAAGAGCTTCTAAGAGAAGCTGGAACGAAACTCAATGGGACTGACTCCGGATTCTTTCCTTTTTCCACCAAATTCCAAGAGTCATTGATGACAGAATTTCTGTCTCTCTTCATTTCATAGAGGAAATAATAGAAAATAATATATATTTTCCAACTGACATCTCGAGTGATTTGTTTTAAGCACTTGAATTTTGTGTTTGATTTATTTTAACCAAAGAATTCCTTCCTAATACATGGAGGCGACTACTTAATTCTTAAAGTCTTTTATTTGTACTTTACTTTCATCACTTTAATGCTAATTTGCTACTTTAATATTCCATGAATTTAATGCTCATCTACATCCCTCCGTCCAGGTTCCAACTGAATTTTATAAAACCATTATGCTGTTTCTTGACAAATTGAGCTTCATAGATGAATTGTATATAGTCACCTGGGATATTAGTTCTAATAAGTGTTTCATAGCTCTCATGTTTGCATGAAGAGGGTGACTGTGTTCTCTTAACTTGAAACTTTTCATTATTCTGAAAACTCTTAGTTATTCTTGTCTGAATTGAATGGGTCAATGTATTTTTTTTCTAACCCAAGGAAGGGAAAATGAAACTAGCAACGAAATTTAATGAAATCTCAGGATGCCCAAGATCACTAAGGCTATGTAACATTGGTAAGTACTTCCATGTTCATTATTTCTTTAGAGGCTCAGAAATACACTCAGCAAGTGTATCAGGTGTTATTTATAGCTCCTTTCAGAAGATTAGGAAACCCAGGCTTAGAGAGAATGAAGGATATGTCCATGGATTTGTCCATCTATTTGCACTTGAAATGGATGATACCTCAAGATATAAACCTAGATCATCTTACTCCAAATCCAGTGTTCTCCAAACATTAAGGTTGAGTTGGTTTCTTTAGCAGTCAGGATCTTCCTTAGCAAACTGTAGGTTTCATGTTTTCACATGGAAGAATAGGTGCAGGGGAATGCTTGCAAAAACATGTGAGAAGACACATACTATAATGGATTTTAGGAAAATTTAAATATAGAATAGGAACATCCCATTCAATTTAATACAAATAAAGGTTTTCATTTCAGGATGAGAGTTAAGATTTAAAATGCAAATACCTGTCCCCTACCCTGCTAGGAAGAAGTAACAGTAAAGACCTGAATTCACCTTGAAATGTCCTTATTATTAGATATTTTCAGGTAAGTTTGTTTTGAAAGGGATGAGACCAGGAAGACCCCAGTCTAAAGGGTAGGAAGAGTGTGGCCAGGGTGGAAATCTTCCTAAACAGGGTTAGTGAGAAGTGACAAGAGAGCTTAGTCCTGAAAGAAAATCGGAGGACATGGCAAAGTAAGGATAAGATAAAATGTAACCAGAAATGGTCAAAGGAGAATATAGGGGGCATAAATAGATGAAGAATAAGGATGACCTATGGAAGAAAAGCTAAGGGACCAATTATAGGGAATAAATAATGAAGCAATAGGCTAAACCTTTAAAATTTAAAAACCTTCATAACAAAATCATTTCATGGGAAAATTTATAATAGCAATATAGTAAATGAATGTGCAACTTTAACATATGCGTGGCTATATAAAATAACTTCATGTCTGTCTTTATATCAACAAGGAAATATTATTTTTATGTTTTAAAAAAAGTTTTAAAATAACATATATACATTATAATTTTAAAAACTAAGTATATCCTTATGCATAGAGCATACTTAAAAATTTTTTTTAAAACAATTATAATGAAATAATCATAGAACTGAAGAAACTATAGAGGAGATACAGTCTAACCCAGGGGTCCCCAACCCCTGGGCTGCATACTGGTACTGGTCAGTGGCCTGTTAGGAACCTGGCCACACAGCAGGAGGTGAGCAGCGGGCAAGCATTACGGCCTGAGCTTCACCTCCTGTTGATCAGTGGCGGCATTAGATTCTCATAGAAGCACGAATCCTATTGTGAACTGCACATGCCAGGGATCTAGGTTGTGCACTCCTTATGAGAATCTAATGCCTGATGATCTGGCATGGAACAGTGTCATCCTGAAACCATACCCCCTGGTGCCAAAAAGGTTGGAGACTGCTGGTCTAACCTCTTCATTTTGGATGTGAAGAAACTCAGATCCAAAGAGTTATAATTATTTGATTAGTTTCATTGGTAGTTAATGGCAAACATTTTCAAAGGAATTTTCTGGAGATGCTTAATACACATTCTAGTTGAGAAAATAACCATTCAGCAGGAAGAGATTCACTATTTAGAACTAAGATCACCTAGAGCAGCACTGTCCAATGGAAATATAATGCAAGTCACTTGTATAATTTTAAATATTCTAGTAGTCAAATTTTAAAAAGTAAAAAACAGATGAAATATATTTCTAAATATCTAAATATATCTAAAATATCTAAATATATCTAAATATATTTAGTTATCTAAAATATATCTAATATATCTAAAATATCATTTTAACACTTAGTCAATATAAAAATTATTGAGATATTTTATATATTTTTTCATACTAAGTCTTCAAAATCTGATGCATAGTTTTTACTTAAAGCTCAATCAATTCATTCTGGCCACATGTAGGTGCTTCATAGTCACACATGACTGGTGGCTATTATGCTGGACAGGGAAGCTGGAGAATATGGGTGCTTGGTCAATGTCCTAAAGCCCTTCATTAAAGTGTGAAGGGTCATGCAAAGAGAGAGATTCTTAATTATTTGGGTGTGATTTGAGAGAGATTTTGAAAGTGTCCTGCCTCAGCATCCTTACCAACCTGCTCTGGGCTGGGATAGGCATTAGACATCTGAAGAGAAAGGCATAAATTTGAGCCCTTAACCAGGCAGCATGAGGCCTTTCATTGTGTCATGCCTGCTAGGCCTGTCAATCATCACTATCAGGGCTGCTTCTCCTCCTGATGGGAATTTAGAAGCACCAGGTTTCACTTCAGGATCAGAAAACAAAGCCAAATTCTTTGAAAAATGACTATCATGATTTTTTAAATTCTCTGCTTTTACTTTTTATGGACTTCAGTGTTTCGACACTGTGGTTTTGAAAATGTCATCCTCTTTCAGATATTAAGGGGAACTAAAGGAGAAAGATTTTTGTATAGTCGTGAGCTAAAGTTTTAAAGATGTAATACTTATTTCCTCGAGCCAGTCATGGCTAGGACAATGCTGAAGTGAAAGGGTCCTAATGGGAAAAACAAATTTGTAACCAGAGAGGAAAGTTGGGCCTGCCTGCTTAATGGCCTCTTTTCACTTGGGTCAACTTCTCCTCTGAGTTCAACTCAGACCTGAAAGCAGAAACCTTTCAGGTCACTAGCTAATATGATAGTGAGAAATTACTAGGTCAAAATCAAGGAAAAGACATGAACCTAGAGAAGTGAGCCCAGCACTTAAGGCTGCTTTTGAAGGCATTTGTTGCTCTGGAAGGAACAGGTGCAAAACTGAGCAGCTGTTTGATAGTTTTGTGAAAAAAAGGGGCAGAAGGCAAAGCCTGGGCTCAATAAATAAATAAACACCCCCTGTCTTTAAGCTGGGGCTTCAGAGGACTTTGCCCTCATGAAAATGGTGAAGCAGAAATAAATCAGTACTCCTACTGACTCACAGCCAGCTTGCAATCATCTGTAATTTGGGACAACCTCCATCTTTGAACTCAGAATAGGGTGGTACTAGACTGGTAGATTAAGATACCTGGAAGAAGCAAGCAGAAATTTTCCTAAAAATAACTTCTCAAATACAAAGGCCAGAACAAAAAGAAAAATAGAAATTCCAAAACTAGAAAAAAATTACTAATAACCAAAAATAAGAACACAACAGATATGAATAATGATAGATTTGGTACAGGTGATGGGATAACTTGTGAACTGGAAAACAGAAGAAAGCATCCAGATTGTAGAGAAAATAAAAATAATAAAATATTTTAGTATGAAGGTTTTTATAACTTTGGTACTTATTAACAGAATTATTTGTTGTTATGAAAGTAAAAATGGATAATATATGTGCAAGTATTTAATACATGCCCTGGCACATAGGGAGAACTCAAAAAGTATTTGTTGAATTTGAAATTTTAAAAAATTAATTTGTTGATTTCGCAGGTAATCTCTGTCATCTTATATAATTTCCATTTATTTGCCAAAATGTTCAAGCTTCTATTTTATTTTTTGTTTCAACTTTTAAAGCATATTAATAATAATTTTCTATTTTATTTTGCATGTTATGATCCCAGTCTCTAAAATATTTTGGATCGATTACTGCTAGCTCTTACCCATGTTGCCTTGTTTTCTTGTGTGGGTTTATAATTTTTGACTATGAGATACTTTTGAGGGGGAGCTTTATTTCTGGGACATCTTTGAGGCCAGGATGGAGGCTGAATCTTTTGATTTTGAATTTTCTTTTGAGAATTGTCTGGGGTCATGACAAACTCCAAACTGCTTTACATTAATTTTTTTACAGGAGGTTTTCTAGACAAAACAGGTAATATGATGAATGAAAAATTAGTGTTAGAATCAGCTTATGATACAAATTTCCAAAACTTGTTTTTCCTTTTCTTAGTTTTTCTTCACCCAGTGCCAAAGTCAAAATAGGCATGTTTTCTACTGTTCAATATTTCTGCCTTTTTAAAAAAAAATCAGGTTTTTATTTTAGAACAGTTTTAGATTTATATAAAATTATTAGCATAGTACAGAGGGCTCCCATCTACCCCACATCCAGTAGCCTCTATTATTAACATCTTACATTAGTCTAGTCTATTTGTTACAATTAATAAACTGATACTGATAAGATTAACCAGAATCCATACTTTATTCAGATTTTCTTGGATTTTACCTAATGTCCTTTCAGTTGCAGGACACCACACTAAATAGTGGTCATGTCTCCTTAGGCACATTTTGGCTGTGACAGTTTCCAAGAGTTTTTTTTAATGATCTTGGCAGTTTTGAAGAGTGCTGGTTAGATATTTTATGGAATGTCCCTTACTTGAAATTTGTCTGCAGTTTTTCTCATGATTAGATTGGAAGGAAACTCATAGAAATTAACTGCCATTTTCATCACATTGTATCAAGGGCACATACTATCAACTTGATTTATTATGACTGTTGATGTTGACCTTGATCATCGGGTTGAGATGGTGTTTGTCAGTTCTCTCCACTGTAAAGTTACTCTTTCCCTCACTTCCATACTGTACTTTTTGAATGGAAGTCATTGTGTGCAGCACACACTTCAGGAGTAGGGAGTTATGCTCTGCCTTCCAAAGGGTAAAGTACATATATCAACTATTTGGAATTCTGCATGGAAGGTTTGTCTATCTCCCCCATTTATTTATATCAGTATGGACTCATGGATATTTATTGTATACTTTGAATTATAATCCAAAGTTACTTTGCTTGAGAAAATAAAAAAATTGAGTTTCTCAAATTATTCCAGCTGTGGTCATTGGGAGCTCTTCCAGTTGGCTCCTATGTTCCTTTGACATACTCTCATCACTGTGGAATTTTTGTTTTCTCATCACCGTGGAATTTTTGTTTTTGAGAACTTCATTACTTTCCCAGTGTCATCTTGTATATCCTGCTCCGGCAATCAGCTCTTTCTTCAGGGAGCACTTATTAACAATGAATTAGAAACCAGTATCTGGGCACTAGGAATGCTCCTTGCTGCTTGATTGTTCTT